CAATCAATCAATCAATCACTTCAAGAACGTCGAGGACCTCATCATCATCAAAAAGGGGGAAACACCAAAGGAACAAGGCGGATAAAGTATTTCCAAACGTTCTGCGAGCCTCCCACGAATTTCAATTGCGGGCAGAAGGACCAAACACGCTGAATTTTCCATCAGGATTTTTTTGTTTTGTTTTTGAGAAAATAAAAATTATCCCGATATAAACGCATCAAACGAAATGATCAGTTGGAGAATAAAAAGATAATTCGACGAAATTATCCGTATCCTTCTGAATTTTGCTTGAAATTTTCCAGGAATGCCTTTCTCAAGAGCAGCAATCCGAAATACAGCATCAATTTATAATTATTTTTATTAATTTTTTTCATTTCTTTCTTTGAAAAAAGCCATATCCCAAAGACATTTCCCCCCACAAGTCATGCTGAAATTGTTGGAGGTGATATTTTGCAACAAGAATGAATTTATCTCGGCTTTTGTAACATTACAAACAACATGAGAATTCTTTTCTTTACTTTTGCAGAAAACCGATTTTCCAAGTCTTTGGCTTCTCGAAATGAGACAATTCAACTGTTTTCTTCACAAAGCAACAATAAAAAGTAGCTGACAACGGATTCATCCAAGTGCAAAAAACATTTGTGGGAGATTCGCGAGAATTTTGCGCGGAAACCTTCATACAATTTCGCCCACAACATTTGTGCAGATCTCGCCTTTTTTTTTTTCTCCGGGAAAAAAACTTCATGGGACGCAAAGGCTATGCACAAAAAGGTATATAATTTGAAATTCAAATTTCAAAACATTCAATTTCTTAAAGCTCCGACTGGGAATGGAAGATCACAACAATGGAACATGACATGGCGACGTCGAATATAGAAAACAAACGAATTTCGGTGATGATTTTCAAAAGTTCCAAGAAAGCTCGGGAAATTCGTGCTGATCCTCGTCCAAGCTTCACTTTCCCATACATGCTGATGCATGGTCCTGAAAAGAATAAAAAAAAAAAAAGAAAGATTCTCAGTAGAATTTTCAAATAGCATTTTCTGTGTTGCAAAAAAAAAAAATTAGCAAGCCATGAACAGTGCGAATTTCACAACATATGCCATCAAACGAATTTTTCTAGTGAACTATATTATTCCGTCACACTGTTCCTCGGATGCTTCAAGAGAAGTTTCAAGTCGCTGAAGCAGTAGAAAAAAAAGAATGTGTCGTTAACTGCGAGATTGACACTTTAAAGTGACACGGAATCTTTCCTAAATTCATCAAAGAGTAATTCACAGGCTTTCAAAATTCATTCAATTTTGTGAAGCTCTTAGTAGCTTCCTCATTTGCCTCGTAAATAAAAACTCAACAGTTTCGAATTCAAAACGAGGGGGACAAATGATGAAAAAAAAACTTCCGGCAACAAATGGACATTCTGCTATTTTTTTATCCTTGCAACTCCAAGTGGGATTGAAATTTAAAAATAAAATGAACAAAATACTTGAGCGACCCTTCCAATAAATCATAGCACTGGTCGAAGAAAAATTCAGGCTTACTCAACAATAACAAAGATACATAAAATTACAACAACAAAAAACACCCACTACCACACACAAAATTATTGGACAGAAACTTATTTTGAATGTCAGTAACGAAATCTTTAACAACAACAGCAACAACAAAGATGAATCTCATCACCTCTATGGCAGATTGGCTGAAGTAATCCGCACACAAGGGACACGGCACATCATCCGGCTGCTGCTGACCAGGTTTGCGTGCCTTTTGCTTTGGCAAAGTCGATGGACCCTACGGAAAAACGATTCAAAAACTGAGCGTCTTCCATATTCACATTCAGTGTCAAGCACATGTTGCCTACTAGTGACAAGTAAATCTATGAATGCCCGAACTAACTCAGTCGAATTTTCAATCCCATTCTTTAAAAATACTGTAGTATATGCTGCCTTCATGCTTAGCTTGAGCACGACAAAATTAAATGGAACGAGGTAAGAGCGACATCTACGCAACATGAACAAAAATTAGGGCCCGACAAAATTGAATGCTGATAACACCAGAGCTGACTGACCAACCCTCACGTAACCCACACAAGCGGAATCATCACTTCAATTGAATGCAATCCACATTCAGGCGACATCTATCTACGACACACGAAAGAAAATTAGACTCGACGGACAGACCAAAATTACATTCAACATCACATGAAACCAGAACAACAGTCGAAAAGACAACGATACCTACTGTAAAAACTGCATCAGATGTTTTGTTGTTGTCGTCGTGCAGCAGTAGCCTGTTTAACTTTTGCGCCCCGGCAGAGTTTCAAGACGGTGAAGACGAGAACCGAAGGCGTCGGAGGTCGTGTCCCAACGGGGGTCGCTGTGGGCGTCGTTAAACGCTGTCGAGGAGATCCGAACTACCTGCTTCATCCAACTCCAATTCAAGCTGATCAACACCGGGCTGCTGCTGCCCCTGTTCCCCTTCATCCTCTAGTAACATCTGTTGTTGAATAAATTAATGAATATTTTCAGTTCAAATTCAACATCTTTCCCTATGGCAAAACATTGAGAGAGTCGCCAACACAACCCCTACTAGAACCCCAACATTTAAAAAGTGAACGTCTTCCATATTTTTTGTTTCATTTGTGTGGATGTGAATAATCAAAGATTGTTCCTACAATTCTCATGACTTGTCAATAGTAGGCCAAACATTTCCTGAACTTTATTTACCGAAAGCGTGAAGATGATTTTTGGAATAAAAAACAACATACTGTTCAACTTCCACGTATACCGTCATCTGCTATGCCTCACCATTCCAACTTTCATCTGTTAATTCAAGAGGTATACATTCTCCGCTGCACATTCAGGTACAGTGACTCTGGGCGCGATCGAAGACACCTACAGTACCTTCTGGGGAGACTAATCTTACGACAATGATCGGTCAAGTGCAACATTCCCAAGTTTCCCAACATCAAACAAGTCCATCCTTTCAAATGGTACCACTCAGTCCGCATCGGAGCCTGTACGGTCATCACAGCTAACCTCCCGAGAGAGGTCAGCCAGTTTCCCGCTCCAGCCCCGATGCTCGACTCATCATCGTGGGTGAAATTACACTCAGCTAGTGAAAGCATGAGTTGAATCATACTACAGAAATGATCCTGTGAAGTACGATCTTAATCAGTCTCACCATCTGCAAAACCTACACATCTACCACTCAGAAACACATTTTCTCGAAAGAGTAGTCTAGAGCAGAATATTGGCAAACTAATTCAGAGTATACTTCTTCTTTCAACATGTTTAGCCTCGTGGTACTGATTCCTTTCGATTAAAATGTATTTGCAATCGTAATACAGAATCTTGAAGTACTAAAAAGGGGAAAACATTACATCATGAGGAATGCTGCACGAGCGACATCTAGCGGAGTAAACAGTCAAACTAGAGGACGCTCCTACTCCATTAATGAAAACTTGACGAATTCCAACTACATCTAGCCTAATTCATTCACGTGCCATTTCGTGGCAAAATCCTTATGGATCACTTGGGAAAATGTTTCATTAGCTTTTCTGAACCGAAGAGCATCAGTATTAAAAAATTTCCTGGGACAGTTCCTATGTTCAATCAAACATACAGGAGTGGTGTCTCAGCTTTTCATACAGTAGAACCTTCCAACAGGAAAACATCATTAAAAAGAATTCTTGCTCAGAAAGCCTTTCTTTAAGGTCCCGGCAGTTTAGCACATGTATTTTGTTATATCAACATGACATAAAGATACTTCATTACAATTCAATTTTATTTAAACACATTTTCTATCAACAAACTATTTTCCAAGATTCCTGAAGCATAATCACAATGATCCGTTCCATCTTGTCACACTGTAACACATTCCATCACATCAAAATTAATTTTAACCAGCACCCAAATTGCTTCACTGTAACATGGATATAATACTGTACTGTGTACAAGGGTTTTCTCAGTTTTGCAAAGTAAAAAATATTTTCAACACGGAAACGTTTCCAAAGTCTCATGAATGATGTTTCACTTTTGTCCACAGCAAAATTTCAAATTTTGAATTGTCTTCAAACATTTCAGCACACGAAATGAATGGAAAACTCCTTTGGCTGTATCATGCACTGCCTTGAAAAGAGGTTTTCAAATTATGAAAGAAACAACGAAACCAGATGACTGAAACATCACATGACAATTTCCAAACTTGTTACAACGTTTTCAACCGCGTTAGAAATATGTTTTCCCAAGCAGAACTGGGCCAATCCTTGTGCAGTACAGTACATTATAAAAAAACAAGGAATCAATGACAATTTTTACCTTTGGGGAGTCTTGCTGCTTTTCAGGTTTCCACTCTTGGGGCTTGGCTCTCACAGCACCACCCACCCGTTTGCTGCCGCCCAGGGCCCTCCAGTCCAGCACGATGTCCCTGCCGCCCAGCACCTTCTCGGGCAATTTCAAATCCGCCAGCATGTCCTCAAATTCCACGTGACACAAAATGAGCACTTCTGCCCCGTCGGCGAGACTCAGTCCTTTCGGTGGGAAGTCGGGGCCGAAACGGGCAGTGTAGGTCGGCGGATGACTCGCGCCCGGGGCCCGTGGAGGAAACGCAGAGCCGTCGGCGAAGGAGCGAATGAGCGCCGCTTTGGCGTCTCGGCTGTCTCGACACCACGACGCCATTTCCGACACCGGGATGCTCACTGGCTTCGTCAGCAATGCTTTCAATTCCTCGAGTCGCTGCTGATTGCCAGCGCCGAATTCCGAAGGAAAAAGAAGGAGGAGGAATACCAGTTGAATAAATAGAGAAACGAAATACAAAACGCCAGATTCGTAGTTACAGTACAGTACTTGAATTCAAATTCTCTCTCGAGTACTCAAATTTTCACAAGTCAAAAGCCTCAAAGCCCCTTTCGCGAAGATCAATAAAACAAAATTAAATTACTGTACTGATACAAACTATGAAATCATTTCAAACATTTTTTGGCACCTCGACTGCCTAAAAATCAATAAATGGCACGTAACTGTTCTCGCGTGACGAACGCTTCTAATTTTGGAACATCCGATTAAAAAAAAAACAATGAATTCAAAAATTCCCCAAATTTAATTGAATACCGCAAACAGCTTCTTTCTCAAAATTGAGAATTAAAAAAAAACGGGATTGCGCTGTAATAAACATTTTAAAAAGTTTTAGAATTTTAGGTGTGCCTTTTACATAATTCTGATGGGAAATTTTGAACCAAGTTCAACAGAAAAACTTGTTTCAATCCAAAATTAGTTGAATTCAGCTTTAATTTAAATTTGGATGTACTTATTTCTGAAATATTGTGGCTTCAGAGTCACTCAAAATGGTGTGCGTGTCTTACTCGAAGATACAATTTTTTTTACAACTTTCAACTAAAAAACCCCACTGTGCGTCAAGTACGGTCCAGTATTACATAATCACCGGAAAGTCCAAAGAAAATGAAGAAATCAAAAGACAGAAAAAACAACATCGTATACAAAAAAAAGACGCAAAAGTTCAAAAACTATAAAGATGTACTTTTTCAGCAAAACCCCGGGCAACGAAATGACGTCAAATCCTCAATTTCCGCAAAATTTTCATTGTTGAAAATTGTCCAAAAAAAAATAATGGAACATCAACAGGGATTCAACAAACCTTTTCAGGAATCGCAGTTGAACTTTCTGCGACATCGTTGGACTCAATTCCCTCGATTCCTTTCATTGATTCAGATCCATTCAAGGGGGGAATTCTTGCTTCAGGTTCAAGTATTCCACGAGGCGAACAAACAACTTCACCCATCGGTTCATCTGGAGTTGAAAAAAAAAACGCAAGGATTTTTATCATCACTCTTCAGCTTTCCTTGGAACAAGATTTCGAAGAATCCGTAATTCATTTTTTTTTAAAGCGTGAATTTTCTGTAGGGCCGTTATTTTCCTTCAAATTACATAAACTTCACTTTTTCGTTTCAAAAATGCAATAAGAAACTAACCCTCGAGCGGGACTCGAAGGGACATTGCATCAATGCCTCGGTCGGATTCCTCCGCTTCGGATTCCAACAATGCATTATACAACTTCATCTTCTCGTAATGAGTGGCCGTTGAATCGATGTCAACATTTGCTTCTGTAAAAACAGACGAAAAATGTAAAAATGTAGGATACGAAGTTATTTTCAGAATTTCTCAGAACTTGCCTCTCAGTTTATCGTCTACTTTCCGCATGATCTCGGCATGCGCGCGTGTAGCTGACCTCAGCTCAGCCATCATCTCGCGAATCCGGCAACGAAAAACCTCCGGCCACGAGGCCTCCCTTGACCTGAAATACGGAAAAACTTGACTTGAAATCAGGAAAAATAAAAATATCACAGAGAAACTTGCGAACATTTTTGAACCAGTCACAAACACACTTTATGCAGATTTGCGAATAACAACTGATCCAAAACGGGGGTTTTAGAAATAATACCTCACTCAAAAACAACGGAGAGATCTGGCAGAGATCCAGGGAGAAAAAAAAAAAACCGCGATGAACTTTTTTTCGTTTTGAAACAAATTTTGGCAGTGAACAATTTCCCTTCACGGGGGCCACAGCACGTCAGAGATAGGACAGCTCTCAGGTCACCAACATGAGCAACAATGCGAATTTCAAAAAATTGATCGATCAATTTTTCTTTTCTTTTTTTATCAATACAATAATTGGCCGAATTCATGGGCAAGTACCAAGGAAGGGTTTTTTTCCTCTTTTCTTTTCTAAAATCATGCTGCCACGAAGCATCCCAAATAAATCGATAATTGGCAAGCTCGCAATGAACATCTAAACACGAAAACGCCCATCTTTTGTCAAGTGAAGGGCGATTCATGAGCTACAAGACCCAAAATGAAATTTAATATCCCAGGAAGTCACCAACAGACGGAGTGGTCCAGAATATATTTTGAATTATACTCCAATAAACATTTACAACGCTAAAAAAAAATAATATATATATATATATATATATATTACTAGAATTTAGCCTCAAATTTCACTTTCAACTCTTCATCGTCGTTTCGAATTTTCTAGGAACTTTTCGCTGGAAAAGAGAATCTCTAGAAACATGAACACTTCGGATCCCAATTTATTCTCGACGGGTTTTCAATGATAAAATTCCACCCTGGAAGAAAAAAAAATATATTCAACTTGTAGGACTTCATCGGGTCAATTTTAAAAATCGATAAAAAATTTGGTAGAGGTACAATTCATCTCAATTTTCCTTTTCCATTACGCAGTATTCAGCCGTTGCGTTAAAACAAATTTTCCAATTGAATGTTGCCAACTCCTCGAAAAAATCCCGTTTATGTGGGTTTATAGTAGCACATGAATCACCCTTTTTTTTTTTTTTTTAAACGTTTGCTTCCGCATTTGCCAAACTCTCTAAAAACATTCAGATGATTTAAAAAACGAATCGTACTTCCTCAACACCACCACACTCACATATTTCGGCTGATTACCTTTTCTTACTACACGTAATTCCCACTTACTTTCCGTCGCAAAGAAACCGGGAATCATCCATAAATTAAATCAATATGGCGTGGAAAATGAATCAACTTTGGCAACCGAAAAAAACTCATCAATCATTGATTGATAGCTATCAGCGCGAACTGAAATAAACTCTCACTGAATGCAAAACAAGTTCTTACAATTCAAAAAAATCCTAACGTGAATGTGCCCAAATCATTCCATCGATCTCAATAGCCCTCCGAAATCCAGTGAAATCACAGGCAGTACGCGGGAAAAATCTTCTTTTCTAAGATTCAGAATAACCAAACAAAAAAACAAGCGCAAAAATTGAGGTAAACATTCGAAACATTCTCGAACAATCGAAAAAAAAGAAAGAAAATAAAACACACAACCTGTAATGTGGGCAAAAATAATAAAAATTGCCGCCGCGAATCAAAATAACTACGGGTAACGCATAAGTTGCTAATTGGTGCTGTTGGCTCCACACCCGGCGCTGCTTTGGTCACCAGGTGTCGTTCCCATCTCAGAGTCCTTCGTTCCGTAACTCATCCTCTTCTTCTTTGGGTGGAACCCACCGGGATACGGGTTCTCGTCACTCCCACCAGTGCCCGAACAGTTCTCCGACTCGCTTTCCGATTTCCGCTTCACCTTTTGCACTTCCGAGAACACGTTGTAGCCGTAGTTGAGAGCCCGGTTGAATGCTTGGTCGAAATCTTCATCGTCTGTCCAAAAAGATTTTTTCAAATATGCTTCATCAACTGTTCCAAAACAAAATTAACGTCATAGACCTTCCATTCAACTCGATGAAAGATGATGCAGTAAGTGCACAAAACTTGAACAAGTTAAATCTAATGCAACGAATTGCGTTTCATTCATTTTTTTTCCTGGGCAACTAAGAAAAAATTCACGAAAAAATGGGACATCGCGCACCATTTCCAGGAGAATAAAATTAATAAATCTTTTAGCTCCGAATAGAAATTGAGTACGGTAATTAATCAATCTGAGAAAAGTTAAAACAGAGGCTGTTTTCCGATCATCGCAACCCATTTTCTGGAATTGTAAAACTTTCATTATTTGATCAGCCTCTTGCAAAACGTTCAAAATCTACATCTATTACTACCACTACTACAGCACTAATAATAATACGAATCAAGACGCACTTTCATCCAAAGAAGTCAAAATCCCAAATTTTCTCACAGAGACTATAATTGAAAGAGCGTTTATTAAAAGTGAAGATAAAGGCTGCACCTGGTTGGGAAGGACTGTCAGCGAGTGTCAAGGGGTCCAACTGATGGGAACCGTTTCGTTCGGAGCCAGAAATCGGTTTTTCCGTCCCGCCCGACGGAACCCCGTCATCCGTTTCCAACTTCTTCATGTTCTGGTACCGCATTCTCTTGTCCCATTTCTTCGTCGATAAGTTTTCCACTGCCACTTCAGTCCCATCCTTTTCCGCACCAACGATTCTCTGCTTCTGCTATGTACATCAAAACATGAAAATTCAATATCTCATTTTTTTTAACAATCACAAAACATACAGTGTGTTGCCGTAATCAAAAACATCGAGAAATAATTGACGTGACACTGAATCATTTTCCTGAAAGTTCAACGAACCACGCAACCTAATCTGAGAAGCCTCTCAGGCAACGTTTAACCCCAGTGCAGTAAATGCAACTAGTCAGGCGACATCTACGTGACAGCAAAGAATCCAACTGGCTGGCGACATCAGGCATGAAAATTGAGAAATTTCAGATTTCATTTCAATACCGCCTGAACTTGTTTTTGAAAATTTAATGACGATCGCGCATGAATAACTAAAGGTTCCCAAAATTAACCTGATGTACACTGGTATACAGTACTGATACTCATCCAATACATCTTCATTCAGCTTTAAAATTCAGGCGACACCTACGTCAATTAAAAAAAAACGAGAGGAGGAATAACAAAAAGTTTTTCTATCTAAACCTTTTGCACGTGTTGCGCTGATTCCGTCAGACAAGCAGCCAGTCCTTCGGGTTCCGGATCCGGGTCATCGACTGCGCTAAAAATGGATGCAATCATCTGTCCGTTACCCGGAACACCGCCACCACCCGCCAAATTCGGTTCTGCACTCGTCGGCCGAGAAATGGGCGAGTACAAATTGGCGGCATTGTAGCTCTTGTCGATGGCCATGTCGATCAGATTCTGGCTCGAAATCTCCAACGTTTTCACACCAGGAACACTTCCGGCTTGCTGCTTGTGGCGCAACAAAGCCGCCTGAAGGCGAAGAAAAAAAGATACGATAAATAAATCCATCAACTGAAGCATACAGGATAGAGGAGAAGAAAACTTCTGCTTCCATTCTCAGCCATCGATATTCTGCTCAAATAATACTCAAGCTCAACATTTAAACCCACAATCCAATTAATTTTGAATCCAATTATCATTATCTAATACGGCATTTTTCTTAATCAAAGAAAAGACGAAATTTATCGAAAATTGCATTCTTAAGCGGATGATGATGCACGAATTAATCCAGAAAAATCTTTTTGCTCTATTTTTGAATTATATTTCGAAAAAGATAAATGAAAAATTGTAATCCAATTAAATTAACGTAGAATTCACATTAATACAAGCTCAAATGTAACGTTTGAAACTCACATTTTACGAAGATAGAGAATTTTGAATGAACTTTCCGTCGTATTCCAACTGATTTCGGCTTTTCGAACAATGATTTTTAAACACGATGCAACAGACGAAAAGAAATCAAATGATTCAAAATCAATGGAAATCAACTATAATTTCGGGCCACACATTGATGTTTAGACAAACAGATGCACACTGTGAAAAGTTATGAAGTATGGAAACAAACCTTGGTTGGGGAAAGTAGAGAGTAATCGGGAGCACGTCCGCCGGGTTCCACAGGTGGGAAACTAGCAGAACCGGCCTCACGCCGCGATTTCCAGTGAGCAGGGGAAAAGAATGCCTTCGATGGACTGCCGCTGGACAACGCGGAAGCTGAGGTAGTTGCTGAAAGTGCGACTGACATCGGGAGGGACGACTGATCCAGACCGGCGGCGCCTTGAGGAGGAGGAGGAGGAGGCGGTTGCTGTTGTTGCTGCTGAGCTTCTTCAGCATTCCCGGTGGGGACAGACATCAGCAGGTTGGGCGGCACTTGGGAGCTCAGGGTTTCTTCCGCAGACTGACTTTCGTCATTCAGGCATCTGCAAATACGAGTACAGTAAATCAGCATTACATTATCAACTCAAGATGCGTTTCTGAAGATTCCAAGAAGTAAAAAAATGCTTTTTATTACAGGAAAATGAAACCGGAAGTTTAATTTCAAACCTCCATCACGGATTAAAAGTCAATACACCGGAAATAATTGGGGAGTATTTTTACAGTACAGTACTGTACTTTCTGTCAAATTACCGTTTTTGCGTTTTTCTTTTTCTCGCAATTACCTTATAATATCCATAAAACTATCTCCTATAACTTGGTTTAAATTGCCTCACTGGTTTCAGGCGTCAATTACAACGGTTGGTTGCATTTAAAATTCTCGATTTTACGAACTTTTCTGTTTTCAATGACCTATGATCACCGGAATTATTCAGATAGAAAACCAACAACTTTTTCCTTATTTTTTTTTTACTGATAGACCCGCAGCAATAATAAAAAATAAAGCGGATACAGGTATAGTATTATTTCATTCCAGATAAATTTAGATTTTCAAGTGATTCGCAAGGCTTCTGAGGAAACTTTCCTCAAAAAACAGAGATGAAGCCCACGAATGTCTTTTTTCTTCAGTCATAAATTTCACGCGTGAAGAAAATTATTTTCAAAGTTGCACGTATGATTTTCAAAGTTTCGGTACACGAAAACAGAAATTTAAAAAAAAAAAAAGGGCCCACTCACTTGGTTATTATCGACTGAACACGGTCCGATGGATAAGACATATCCAGCGCAGGAGCCAGGGGTAACGATCCTCCTTTCACATTGGTCCTCGCACCACCACCACCAGCTGGAGGCGCCGCTTTCGTCATCAACAAACTCTGTTCTATGCGTCCCTGTTCGACAATCTTATGGGCCAGCTTGGTCGGGTTCTTCTCGTCAATTCGGCCCAAGTCAGGCACCAGGGGATAATCTTGCCGCCCTATACTGGACGCAGGGGGAAGAACGCCGCCATGTCTGCTGCTGCCGCCGTTTGCAGCAGCAGCAGCAGGATTAGACAAGGGGACAACCGGGGGCAGCAGCGGGTTTTTCTTCTGCACCGGTGGAGTGTTTTCCTTGAAATTGGTGAAGTTGGGGAGGGACATGACAGGGACGGAGAATCGAGGACCCGACGCTTTCTGCTCTTCCGCCTCCTTTTTACGCTGCTCCAGCTGGGCCACATTTTCTAGCAACTCTGCCTTGTGCACCTTGGCCACCTGGAAACACAAAACTCGCCATCATCACCCTGGTACAAATACATTGCCTCGAGTTTTTCTTTTTTCTTTTAATAAACTCACCTCACAACTTCTCTTCAGCTGCTTCAGCAACGTTCCCCAAAACACATTGTACAAAGCAGGCACCTGAAAATGGGTTTTCAAAACATTCATCTCCTTCTACACTCCACTTTATTAAACGAGAAAAAACAAAATGAAAATTACTCACCGATCTCACTATTTCTAGGAACAACGCCGTGTTGTTTCTTCCACGGAGGAAGTCAGTCACGGAATAAATCTTTCGCAACGCTTCTTCCTCTTTCAACTGACACTGAAACAGCAGAATGACAAGATAAAAAATTGCGTTCATTTTTGCAAAAAAAAAAAAAAAGAGATGGGGAGATTTTAAAGAAAAGCAAGTACACAAAAGAGCACCTTGCGAAAGTTCTCGCTTGTTCTCCGATATTTGCTCATTTGTCCAATCGCTGGGATGATACCTGCTCATTCGCGTACTACAAGATCTTTTCCTTTTGCAACGAATACACTGTACATAAACAAAAGACGTACTTCTTGCTTCACCAGCTGCAGCACAGAACCTTCCTTGATGACGCATCTCGAATACACCTGATACGCTTCCAGCATTTTCTCCATATCTTCCGTCGTGGACGAAGGCAAGTTCAACTTGCTGGCCTTCTTCTGCCAGTGCTCCAGGGCCACCTTTTCGCACCTCTTCACTTCTTCCGCCATCGCATTCCTCATCACTCGCAAAATCTCCAGCTTTTTCTGCAAATGATACAAAATAATATTTTTAAAAATTTACAATGAAAGCGAGAAAAAAGGAAATAAAAAATTTCACCCTCACCTGCAACATCTCCTGCCTTCGCAAAATATTATCAGAGAATTTCTGCGTGTTTCTCCTCGCAGCACAAAACCGCTTCACTGCTGGCCGCATGCGATTCATCAGCTCTGCCAGCAGCTCCTTCAACTCCGGATCGTCGTCCTCCACAGTACACTCCATGGTTTCCTCAGACACGTCTGCGAAGTCCTCGGCTCCAGGCGTGGCTTCTGGCGACGACGCAAGGCGTACTAGGTGTGAGGGAAGCAGGCTTAGGAGGTCTTTGCTGCCAAAGAGCAGGTCGAGGCAGCGCAGGTTGTTTCCGAGCAGGAACGTCGGAAGAGGTCCGAACGAGACCAGTAACAGATTTAAAGTAACAAAGAGCACATTATGACAAAAGAGCCATCAGCAAAGGAAAAACTCTCGATCTGATCGACTAGGGAAAAATACTAGTCAAAAGAGAACGCGAAGATGAACGTTGAAGAAGATTGTCCTCATCCAATGCTTAATTTCTGTTGCTATTACTGTACATGGGTGTCGCCCCAAAATTTTAAAGTTTATTCGGATCTAATTCAGGCTTTGTTCAAATCACGTAAACGTCACACGTTAGACTACATTAGTTTAGGCCCAATGAAGTAATTTTGGGTTCAGTTAGAGAGTGTTACCCAACCCATGGTCCGCAGTCTGTGGAAAATTTTTCTTGGCATAATAAACTCATCAAATATGGCAATGAAGTCAAACTTTCACTTGAAATTTCAGAGACAATGGCAGTTGAAATTATCTCATGAAAAATAAAATTTTGCTTTCCTCTCGATGATACTTAGACAAATTTTCACCTGCTGAAATGGTTCATTTCAATTTTTCATTCTGAAGACATTCCACTATAGCTGCTTCATCAATTCTCAACTTGACTTGTGCAAAAAAAGCAGGCACCATTTAAATACCTGTCATAAAGTCTTTCAAGGTAACCTTTTTTGAGTTTCCAAAAATTGTACGAAACTCTACTGGTCCGCCAAATCTTTAAAAAAATAAATTCGCCAGTTTGCCGGCCTGAAAAGGTTTGGGAACACTGAGTTAGAATACGGTATGTTTTTAAAATAGTGAATCAGACGACACCTGCCTGACATTCCAGGAATAACCTGAACGAAACTAGTGTCGGTCACGGGGTAAAAAATGTCGAGTGGTCAAGAGACCATTAAATTGTTCGGAGCAACGAATACAGCTCTATACACACTTGATTTCAGAAGTATCTCAAAACGGACAGACCTCAAACATCGAGAAATTTCTTTCAACTTACGTTCCGTGCTGAGCAAAGTGTGAGAATGCAGGGCCTCGAGGGCCGCCTGACACAACGCAGGAGTCGGTCGTGTGGCGGCAATGCCGGGTTTCGTGGCCCGTTTGTTCGTGGAGCCAGGGGGGCGTCCCCTGCCTCGTCCACGCGTGATGGGCGGTGCAGCAGACACTTCCCTGCTAAAGGACAGGTTTGCGGACGCAGCGGCCGTCTTGACGGCGCCTGCAATGGCGGCTCGGCGGCGGCCACGTTTGCTCGCCGGCGTGTTCACCTGTGGCGGCGACCGACTCATTTCGTGCTTCATTCGAACCAGCTTCACCTAGTTTTGAGGCATTTCGAAAAATAAATCAAGTATTCTGATAATCGAAAATACAGTAGAGTGATTAGATACTCCGGAAAACTACAATTTAACACGTAAAAATATATCGAGAATGACCCGACGAAATACGAGAAATCGGGAGGATCCTTCAACTTTGAATCTCTTACACATAAACTTAATATTTTTTTATCAGTACAGTAATGATTTCTTTAAATTCTCCTCTTTTTCAATTTTCTTTAAATTTCTCATCCCTCGACGTAATAATTGCAAATAATACCACGATTCCGCACGAATGCACGAAATCATATCCAGTTGAAAACATGATCTGTTCTCTTCTTATAAATGCACACAGCAACAAATGCTGATAGCAACAAACCTGAGGAGACATGGACATGTCTGGCAAGGAATGCGTGCTAGTTTCATCATCCGTGTCCTTCGTCGGCACATTCAGGTCCACGCTACGAACTTTCTTCGTTTTCCGGCGACCATTCCCGTTACTGTTCCCATTGGCTTGCTGATTTCAAATACGAAACAATTAGATACAATGAACGGAACACATGGAACCACATTTTGAGCAAGTCTCACCCTTTTTTGCTGGTCCTCGAAATAGGCGTTCAACTGTAGAAAATATAAAAAACAGTTTGTCTTGACTGTTCCCAACAATTTGACAACAGCATCACACTGAGACATCAGAATCCAAAAACCAGCTTTGAAAACGAGATCAAAACACTTATGCTTGAGGCAAAAGACAAAATTTTGACATTAACTCAACATGCACACTCATCTAAAAACATTAGAAAAAAGCGTATATATATATATAAGTATCAAAGAAAATGTATACAGCAAAAAATTCAAATTTTCAAGCATCTCTAGGACATGAAATAAATTTACTACATGTATCACAAGCGCTCCACTTCAAAAAGTCCAAACTATTTTTTAATTAGAACTAAAACGATGTTTTCAATGCTTCGGCGTTAGATTGACAGTCATTATCGGAAAGTCATGAATTTGAAACAGTAAATACTTAGGCATTACTTAGGACAGTGGTGCCCAACTCAGAAGTAGCCAAGGGCCACATTGAAACAGTTGACTCATCTTAGGAGCTAGGTTCAAGACTTAAACTCAGGTGCGAAACTATTTTTAAGCGCGAAACTTTGAGAAGGGAAATACCTTTGGAACCTCAAATATTCATAAACAAAAATGCACGCAGAGATTTTAAGATTCTCACCCGAACCAAGTCGATGAACTGCACAAAATATTTCACAGGCTTGTCAGTCCAAGACACTTCACCAATAATTGGTGGCACCTTCTTGGTGTCCAGCAACACACCGAGATCCTGAACATTCCGTGAATTCGGGCGATTGTTGGTGCACTTTCCGAAAGCAACAGAAGACACGATAGCAGTTCCATGTTCGCACCCTTCAAAAATCTTCTTCAACGCATTGTCCACTTCCGCTCCGAACACATAGTTGTTGACAAATATGAGCTTGGAAGAGGTTATCTTCGTCCGATGCTCCTCGTGCAGGAAATCCCCGGCAATCAGCTCAAACGGCGAGTATTTGAACCCGAACCAGTTCATCCACGTCCGGAAATTCCGATCCATGGCCTGAGGGGGGAAAATCGAAAAAAAAATTCATTCACTTCATCAGAAGAAAAGAAACCACACACAACAAAGCCACACCTGTGCGTAAGTATTCGGTATTTCTTCCTTCTCTATGCCGTAAACCATCTTTACACGTGCGCTGGCCGCAATCTGAAGCACGACTTGTCCCACACCAGACCCAAGATCGATCACTACGGAGTTTTCGTCCAAAGAAATGCACTCCAGCATTTTCTCTATGGTCTCGAATTTCGTTTCCCCGTAAACACTGGGCGTGAATGCCGTATAACAGTTCAAGCGCTCAGGATTGCTCACAGAGGCACGATAAACTTTTGTGATGATCGCGTTGAGAATCTTCGAACTCGGTGGGTTTTCGCACAACGGATCCAAGGTAGTCCCCATGTACTGCAAAATTTGTTATTATTCACTTCATAATACTGTAGATTAATCCCTTTTCAAGATGCTCACCATTCCGTGCATGGCTTTCACGAGTTTGTTGAACCGATCACACATCGATCGCATCTCCTCATAACTGCACAACGCGAAAGAATTCATTTAAAAAATAACATAATAACACACTGCAATAACTCACTCAGACGACGGCATTTTTGCGATGATATTGTTCCTCGTGGTGATATTGTGAACATTGTTCTTGTAAACTTCGTCGAACACAAGTCTGCCCAAGAACGAAAACGATCAGAAAACTGTATGAAGCGCGTTCATTCGCTCGAAACTTACTCGATGGTCGCCACGAGATCCTGACTTTCGTCGTAATTCGGCTGCAAAAACGAATATTTTTCTGTACTGAACGACAAACCGAGAAATTCATGAGACAACTCACCGTTCGTATGAGAGGCCATTCATAAACTTTCGCTTCGCCACCGGCTGGACTGTTGAGACGGAGATATTTTTTCGGTTCATCCTGTGACGCCATGTACGGATGGCCGGGAAAAAAGGGCTCCGCTCCACGGATGAAGGGTACTCAGGTTATGCGCCGGAAGTTATTGCACTGATACACCTATGAAATGTTGAAATCCGGAGAGGCAGGCAAAAAATAAAAGAAAAAAATAACACTGGGAACAAAAAGAGAGGGAGAGGAACGGATAATCGGTTTCAGTGTTTCGGGTTCTTCGTAGGTTCCCCAAGATATCAAGGAACATAACAATTCACCAAGCGTCTTGGATCAGTGGAATGGTACAAACAGTATTAGAGGTGAACGAATATACAACAAGAAAAGAATAGAACTATTTGGGATTTAAGTAGCACATCTGCAGAGCGAACATAACACACAAAACCTGGTTGCCAAAATGCACAGTGACTACCACCGACCACGCAGTGAGACAGACGCGGCGGTCAGTCATGACAACAAATCACACCGGGACATGTTCACTAGCGCGTCACAGAAAAATCATACTTCAGAACTCGAAGAATATTTTAGAAGTCGCCAAAATGCTGAAATCGTTCTCGCACGGTAACACCGTGCTTCCACTCGACTTCCACTCCAAAAACTCAATTTCGGCATCCTCTTCCACGCCATGTTGGTCAGCGCCACTTTCTCTCAGAGCCACCTTTCAGTGAGTGACTTTAACTGCAATGATTTCGGGTATAGATTCCGAGAAAAACTTCTGCGCCTTCTTGGGGAAGATGGCGCATATTATATAACAATTTTCACATAAATATACAACTTCAGGCTATGTTACTTTAGCTTTCAATAATATAGTATACTGTATAGTCTTCCTGAACAAATTGCAACATGGAATTCTCAGTCAACAACATGCGCTATTCATAAAATCACCCAATAGTGGCCTTGGGGGATGGAATGGAAGAGAATAGCCCCCTATCAGAAAAGCGTGAAAAACAGTGGCGGTGAGTTAAAAAGTATGCTGGAACGTCTAGGCACCAACTAGGAAGCCCACGAGAAAAGGGCCATGTTTGCAGCTGGTCATGTGATCAAATAACACAGCGTTTAACTTCAAGATCAATGTCCTTCAGGCACCCTGTAATTTGCTGAAACCCAGCATGTAAATTATTCGAGTATCCAATTATTTTTTTCTTTCACAGGCTAGATATACATCAGGTCAATTCATCACCTTATATAGTCAGTTCAGAGGGAGAGACACAAGGGAGCTAACCGCAATCTCATTAAAGAACTTCATATCCACAAGCAACATAAAATGAATGGGCAAACTTTCTGTAAGATTGCAATTTTATTTCATGCCACAATCCAAACCAACACTCTCACAAGAGAATTGGGAACATTTGCTGATGATGATCAGCATCAATGGCCAGCAAGGGAGATCCACAACATTGAACCCCATGTCATCTTGTACAAGGATCAAACACACATCATTGGTAAGTAGAAATACATATCAATATATTTATGGGATTTATATTGTATATGTATACTGTATTTTTACAATTATTTTCAATGATCAAACTCATCCACACATACAGAAGACTTCAAGAGACCAGCATTTCCATGCATCAGCATTCACCTAAAAAATGAAAGCATTCTTTTCCAAGTCATAAAATGGAAGCAAAATATTTACAATTCACTGAAGATTGGTCTCTTGTGCCAAGAACCTGTTGCAGACTGCTCTAACATCTTGTACCAGGTACTGTAATATCATTTCTGCAAGCATAACATAATTTCTTAATTATCGAAGTCTTTGTGCAGATACAGACGCGTAGACTCCTGAGATGGAAAGACATTTGGCACATTTTCCTACTCTCTGGATCCATGCCCGAATTCTTGGAAGCCATCCAACAGCTGGATTTCAAATGGCAGATGTCAGTCCACACTGAAAAGGAAGTCCATTCGCTTCATCATAATTTTGTTCCACATCAGAGGAAGACAGTTCCAGAATTGAGGACATTTACTGAATCAAGCATTACTCGCGATGCACATGACTTTCTGGAGATTTTCAGAAACTTTGAAAACTCAGTTCTTCTGCACGCAGCTATTGACGATTATCCATTCGTCACTCTTGAACATACTCCGAATAATGGACTGGTTGCTGTTGACGGCATAGATGTCAACATACTGAAAAGCATATCTAAAGCCTACAATATCAGGTGGAATCAATAATCCTGATGATGCAATTCATTGATCATGATGTTCAATTTTGTTTTATTCTACTAAAAAAAAAGCTTCAAACCCTTTGAGCAAGTTGACAAGGCATGGGGGTCAGAGGAACCAGATGGCACCTTCAGTGGACTCACAGGGTCAGTGGCCACTGGGACAGTAGATTTGGCCATAAATGAGATCACCATAACGCAAGGGAGGTCAAAAGTTGTGGACTATACAACCCAGTACTTCATTGAAGACGTCACATTTGTATCAAAAGCACCAGGGGAAAACAGCAGGGCTTTGGCCATCTTGATGCCATTCTCCAAGCAGGTGAGTTCAATAACTGCAGATCCACTTTGGCACTTGAAAAAAAATTCACATTGAGACTATATTGAAAACTGATTGTTGTTGGTATTCTTTTGAATACTCAGATGTCTTCACCTCTTTCTTTTCTCTGGAATTATATAGATGTCGCACAAATTCAACATCTAGTCTGGACTGGATGAGTTACGTAGAATCAAGTTAATCCAGGCTTTCATATTCTTTTCACCAACAATAAAAGCATGAGATCCCAAAAGGCAAAATGAGGAACTGAATTCAACATACCTTGTATAATGCAGTAAAATCTTGTTACAACAATAATCACCTAGGAACCCAAGAAAAAATTAATTAATGACAAAAAGATTTGCTCAAACAAGAATCATATGTTTCTTAGTGTATTAAATTTTTTCAGGGAAAAAAGTGGTAGACGCTTTGAAGTACAGTACTGTTACTTCCACAACATATATGTCCATATTTCCAACTTCTACTGATGAAATAATGAGGAAGATATAAAATGACATTCTCTTATTTCATACCTTTCCTCTCTTAAATTTATATACTGTAACTAAATTACCGCATTGAAATTATACAGTTGCCTTTCCAAAATATGCTCCACATAGAATGAAATATATTTTTGCAGGTATGGTTGGGCATCCTAGCATCAGTTGCAGTGGCCATTACGACCATCAGCATCCTGGCAAAACTCAACATGGCCTGGCAGCCAGAATTATCATCTCAAGCATCATCAAGAAGTCAAAACGTTTTCGTCATATCAAATTTCAGCGACTCGACCATCGAAGTTCTCAGACTGTTTTTCAACGGAGACTTTGCTGAACTCGTAGCAGGAACGAGTCTCAGGGTATTCGTACTCTCACTCCTCCTCGCAACCATCCCCATCGCAGGCAAGCTTTTTTCCGCAAAAAAAACCTGGAACACGCCGAAACGGATTTGAGTAAAAATTCGCCACTTTTTTGTTTTGTTTTTTGAAATACTGTATCAATAATAAAGGTGTGTTCAGTGGGACGTTGACAGCTTACATGGTGACACCGGGCAAGGAGAAGACCATCAACAGCCTCGAAGACCTGGCAGCAGATGACACCAATCAGGTCATCACTTACAGGGGCACTATCGTGGTTGACCTATTTCAGGTGAACATATATTCACGAGGGATCGACTCGAAGGGCGTCTAAACCATCATAAGGAAAATATAGTTTTAAAATTGGAAAATTTCACTAATTTTCAACAACTTGGAACAGAAAATCTAAGAAAATCCTCTCTTGAAATTCTGGAAAAAATCGAAAAATTTTTCTAGCACAGAAATCGTTTTTTGCACCATCATTCTTAAAAATGTCGGATAACAATGTAAATGTGGCAGGTGAACATTAATGCCAACTTGTGATGAGCACAACTTTTAACCCTGGGAAAAGAAAAAAAATTACGGCCAATAACATCAAATAAATAATTTTGAAGTATATAGTAGAATGAGATTGTCACCAACTGTTACCAGGGTTGTCCCAGTTGTGCGCGACCTTGGTTATTTCTAGAGTAGTTTTGAATGCAAAAAAAATTATAATGTAGCCAATGATGTTGTTTAGATTCTGGGATTTTTTTTCGCATTTAATGAAACAATTTTAAATTTACTGCATGATGATAAGCAAAAACTTTCCTGTTATGCCCATCAGAGTTCTCCAATGCATGTCACAGGGTGCTTGAAAGTTGGATTTTCTTCATCGTTTAACCATAAAATAAAATGTAGAAACGACAATGGTAAGAAACCAAAATTTCAATTTTTCAAATGGCCTGACAACATTTCCCCCCCCCCCCCCTTCCTGTGACATGGGTGGAAGACCTCTGGCAGTAACTGGAAAGTTTTTACTTTTCAACATGCAGCAAAATGAAATTTTCTTTTAAAAAATTAAGTAAAAATTCCAGAACACTACAACATTTTTTTTACAGTAATACCTATTGTAGAAATAACCAAGGTCGCGCGCAAGTGGGATAACCCTCCCATACAAAGAACCGCACTCACACAAAACATGCAGATAATTTCTCACTCTCCCAATTTCTCGACATTTCAAGAAAGCCGACAGGAACTCGTTGCTCGGGATCATCTGGCAACGGATGGAAAAAGCCGGTGGGATCCACGGATTAGCCCTGACGATGGAAGAAGCAGTTCGATTCGCGAGTCAACCCAAGCACGTCTACGTGACAGCTCGACTTTCAGGAATGATCTACACGGCACTCCACGGCAACTTCAAGGATTTCCACATCGCATCCGGCGGCTTCTTTCCCGCGTGCTACGGGATTCAAGTTCAAAAAGGATCCCCGTTCAAACCCCTCTTTGACACGAAGTGAGGCATTCCATTTTTATCTTTCTCGAAAAGCGCGCACGAAAGTTGATGCACAGTATAAACTTCAATAACAACCGAGGAGGAAACAAATTGCAACAGGCTTCTTAAATCAAGCAGATGCATCACAGATTCTTGACATGTTTGGCATTTTGAATTAGGCCTTGTTTTATTTTGAAGAAGGAGCCAATATACTGTTGAACCTCAATAGCTCAAACCTCCCAGTGTCAAAATTTGTTTTCAAGTCTCCGTCTGATTTCCCAAAGAAACAATTCATTGAAAAACCTCCGAAACCCAAAAGGGCTACCTTCTTAAACTTCCTCCACTTGTTCAACATTATTTTATAGAAATTAAAAAATGATGTTTTCATAATTTTTTTAAACAAAAAATAAAAAAAATTTTAAACTAAAAATTATATTTTTGAAAATAAAAAGCAAATTAAAAAATAGAATATGAAATTCTTTTAAAATAAAATGTAATGTATCTTTTAAATGAAATGTCATAGGGTGCTATTTAAAAAAATATAATTTTAAAAACAAAAAAGACATTTTTTAAGCCAAAAAATATCTTGGAAAATAAAAAGCGATTAAAAAACAATAAAAAATAAAATTCTTTCAAAATGAAATTTAATATATTTTTCAAATAAAATACTGCATGATGTATGTTTTTTATTAGATTTTCAATTTTATTTTGATGAACATTTTGAAAACGCAGGGCAACTTTTCACACAGACTCACTCTCTCCATGCATCCCTCTTGAGCCAACAATTCACTAAATCTTCCCTGACATTAATTTTCCTTTCATTCCAGACTGCTGCAGCTGCAGTCAGGCGGGTTCATCAGGAAGTGGGCCACGGAAAGCCTGGCGGAAATGCAAAGGAAATCCGTGCTGGCTCATCATCCCTCATCGCCTTCCGACTCCACGACGAACTCGGAAATCCGTCCATTGAAACTCGACGACCTGCAAGGAGCGTTTTACATCTTCGGGATCGGAATCCTCTTGGCAACACTGACCACTGCAGGAGAATTAGCTGTTCATTCTAAATTTCACAGAAAATGACGTTTTCGAGACAGTTTGACATCAAACTATTTTGAGGGATCATTCATTTTCGATTTGTGAATGTGAGCACTGAGATTTCCGCACGACACGTTTCATCGAAAGCTTCGAGAGATTACACTAATTCTTAAAGCTGTTTTTTCCCCCACGAACTACTCGAAATCACGCTTTTCGCTCTTCGTCTTCATCGTCACAACCCACAATTAGTTCAAATACCACGGAAACAACCCTTCAATTCTTCGACAGCCTTGTCCACGTCTTTCATTGAGGTTTCTCTTCCAGTGGAGAAGCGAATTGCAGTTCTCACCAACTCGGGACTCACTCCGCAGTTCCTCAAGATTTCTGAAAAAAAAAATAAAAATAAGCTGTATCATCAATCAATCGGATTAGTGACGAAATTGATTGCATAGGACATTGAAGAAGCTTTTGCGTCGTAAAATTTGTTTCAAGAATATTTCGTCAGCTTCAATACGCATGGCTAAATTTGACGGCCTATAATCCAAGTCCGTCTCCTTTCAATTCGAATTCTTGACCAAATACTGTACAGTATAATATCGTTAGAAAGAAGTTCTTGAGACCGGGAAAAAGCTTCGTTATTACAATAAATTCGTTCTATGGCAATTCGAATAACATTGCTGTACTGTACTGCTAATGAGCAGCAGGGACCTGAAAAACGACTTCATTGTAACCAATAATTCGTTATAACGAGATTCCACCACAAATCTCTGTCAACACGCTCAAAAACACAATGAATCCACAGGCAGAAGAAAAAAATTATGTACACAACTCGGTGCACTGTACAATTAAAATGCCACTGCGACTGCCAGCGACATCTACTCCCACTTGAACACTTTCTAGTCGCAACGGACGCGACGTAGAAAGATGACCAAATTTCTCACATTGCACAGAACTTTTTCTGGTATTCAAAAAATTCCAATCCTAAAGAAAGAAAAGAAAAGACTCACTAGATCCTCCAGTGATATGGGAGTGACAAGCAGCACCGGTACTCGCTACAACTCCTGGGCACTTCCGCAAGATGTCGGCTCCACTCAGATCCTTGGCCAAAGTGCGTTTAAAAGAAACATTGCAAGTGTTCGGCAGTCGAGGGACAGACTCAAAATTCACCACCACGTCATCTCCAAATGTGGCCTTGAGCTGTGACTCCAGGTAGTCTCTGTGACGACTGAATGAGGCCCGAAGCTTGTCAACCCCCATGGAAGTCACCAGGGCTGCAGCTGTTCCCAGGCCAGCTATCATCGGAGTGTTTTCTGTTCCTGGACGAAACCCACGCTCTTGTTTGCCTCCGAAAAGCATGGGTTTGAATGGGGCACCTTCTTCCGTGTCGAGCGCACGGACATACAGGGCTCCTATTCTGGGACCATAAAACTAAACCCAAAAATAAACAATGTTAGTTTAAATTTTTTTTTTTCAGTAGCTTCAAATGAAACTTTTGGGTACTTGAGTTTCTTAGTCCGAATCCTTCAAACTTTGCTGGAAGTACATACTGTGAATAATTTGAGGCAGAAAAATTGAGACTGGGCACATTGAGACTGACAATTTGAGACAATGAAAATTAGCATCAGGGTAATTTGAGACAAGGAAATCCTGATCACAGGTGGACTCTTTCTACAGTAATCCTGTCTACAACGATTTTTTTTTGTGGTCCCATAACCAGTTTTACATCAACGCATTTTTTTCTGGTCCCTTGAATTTCGTTGTAGGTTCACCTGCATTCGTCAATTACAACTGAACAGCGCAATTATTTTCATTAGTCTTTCTCAAGCTTTACACACTTCTTCACATTTAATGTACAGTATTCAAAAAATCCTCAATTTCTCGCATTTCCAATCATTGAGATCTCGAAACAAGTTCAGAAATTATTCATTATCTTTAAAAGTCGGTTATTTTTCTACAGATGAAACTTTTGGATGAACCTTCGCACCTTGTGGCCGACAATCGTGAGATAATCAACCCCCAACTTTTTCACGTCCACCTCGATTTTTCCAATCGCCTGCGCGGCATCGGTGTGAACACTAATCCGCAATAATCCATCCTTGACTCTCTTCTCATTCAAATCAGCAATCAACCTAAAAAAAAGAAACGAATTGTGTCAATTATAATCGCTAAAAGAAACGAAAGACAAAAATATTTTACCGGGTGATCCTGGGAATGTCGAAAATGACTCCGGTTTCATTGTTGGCCAGCATCAGAGTAACTAAAACAGTGTTTTTCCTCACGGCTTCCAGCAACTGCGTTTCATTGATTGTTCCGGTTTCACGGTCAATAGGGAGCCTGGTGGATTCTTTGAAAAATTTTCGTTGTGAATGTCAGGCCATCTTACAAAAATGGGAGAGTGATTCACATGCTACTAAACCAGCGTTACTCAAAGTATGGCCCGTGGGCCAGATCTGGCCCGGAGAGACTCTTGTCAATTTGCCATCTCAAAATTTTTAATCTGTTGCAGTCCTCCAAGGACTCTCCACCTCTGCAATGTGGCCCTCGGTCGGAAAAATCTTTACATGTGGCCCTTGACCACGTCTGAGTTGGGCAGCACTGTACTAGACCCTCAACACAAATATTTCAACGAGGCATGAGAAAGTATGTCATCAATAAATTTGTTTTAAAAAAGGTGGAGTACACTGCAAAAATAAAGATGAAATAATAACAGTTCAGGCTTCAAAGGACTGGGGAACAGAAAAATTTCGGCAGCCTTAAGAAAACGTTTTATCCTAGTATTGAGTTGCGTGAAGTAAGCGAATGGACATCAGAGTTCCAGAAACCTGAAAATGTTCTCTCACTCCACAGGTGGTGAACGTTTTGTTCAGATGACGTCAGGAATTAATTTTTGCTTTCTTTTACATCGTCAGGCCCTCTCGTGAAAAATATTTCAGGATATCGTGTCGTATAGTACTGTATCGACATTTGTACATTATTGCCCGAGTCAAAGTAGGACGTAAATCACCCTGCATAGAAAAGTAAAGTTCTTTAACGAACCTATTAGCCCCTCTTTCTCAAAAACCTGCAGGGGCTCAAGCGTCGCATCGTGTTCAATGCTCGACGTGATGATGTGCGGCTTACACGAATCCGCTTCCGGTTCATCCCTCATCCACCGGACATGATCTTGAACCACCGAGCAGATGACGGAATTATTCGCCTACATTAATTCAACGAATAAATTTACTACAAATATCCAAGTACAGTACTGTATAAAACTATAAAGGAATCAAAAAGACCTCAGTTCCGCCCGAGAGAAAAATGATCTCGTAAGCTTCTGCCCCGATGCAAGCAGCAACTCGAGTCCTCGCCTCATCAATCACGGCTTTCGCGATTCTTCCAAATCCGGAGTTGGAAGACGGGTTTCCCCAACCCGTTTTCAGGGTTTCCGTTATCTTGATCTGTACTTCTTCAGCAACAGGGGTTGTTGCATTGTAATCCAAATACACCACATCACGATCCATTTTATTTACTCAAAAGAGAAGGGAGAGGTTCCGGGATTCAGAATTGGGAAACAAAACAAAATAGGATTTTTTTTCACCACAACACCCCACGTTCGGGACTTCAAAATTTTCCTGAGACTCACATAGGTGTCGCACCGATTCTAGTAACATCTCATTCTCATTACCTGAGTTATGTACAGTACCACATGCATGTCCTGATGAGGCAAACCCAAGCTCTTCAGTCCCTTTTTTTTCGAGACGAAAACGGCAATATTTCAAGAAGAGGAACACCAAAATTTGAATTTATAAATGAATGAACCTGAATTTACGGATTCTCAATTGTTTCCATAAGTACAAGTCATCCTGATAACATTGGTCCTCAATTTCGTACCAGAATCAAGTGAAATGCATTCCTCAACTTCCAAAACTTGTTGTCAATTTTACATTCGCCTATGACCCGCACGCTCCATTTTTTCTCTAAATTTTGAGAAGAGAAGGTGCGCATGGCACTTGATTAAATACAACAGTGTATTTCCAAGTCAAGTCTCCTGAGATTTTTTGGCGACATCTGTTGAGTGTTACGGAAAACAACGTGGGACGTTCCAGTGAAAAAGAAAAGAATAATAGAGCACAGGGAAAAACTGCAGGTTCCTGTTTCAGCATACAGTACATTACTGTACTTTTGATTTGAACACAAAATAACTAGATTAATGACAAAGCTTCCTTGATGTCGACTATTTTCTCCCGGGGGCTCCCCCGGACTGACCCGCGCTTCACTTCAATTGCATCCAGCTTCGCCCAATCTTCCTTCGACACAATTTGTTTCCCTACACCAAAAATAATAATTTCAAATCTTAATACGGAAATTCCGAACAGCAAAAAAGGGCAATAAATCATACTTGGATCACTAATGATGTCGCGAAGATCGAAGTTCGTCTGCTTAGGTGTCATTTTCTCCAGGTCCGAAGCAACAACGTCAGCAATTTTAAAAGCATTGTTCAGTGTAGACAAAATCACTCCAACAGCTCCTGACTGCGTCCATCCGCAGCAATAAACTCCTGTACAGAACAAAGCGTTTTGACACGTGACACCTACAATATTTTGGTCGTCCATCATACTTTGTTTTTCGGGAACAGGTAAAATTAATTTCAGATTAATTTTTTTTTTCATCCAAGGAAATAATGAAGAAAAAAATCTTAACGTTACGCGACCTAAAAACTAAACTTACTTGAACGAACTACGAATACTGTACAATAATCAAACCTAACCTAAAATAACCAAAAATGAAATAACCCGACCTGATTTAACCTAAAATAACCACAAAAAAATAAATAAACCTGAACTAACCAAAATAAAATACCATAACCAAACCTAGCCTAACTCGAAATAAAATACCTCATTCAAAAACCAACCTGACCTAACTGGAGGTAAATCAACCAACTTGGAACAATTTTATCCTTAACAAAGCATTACAATTTTTGGTTTTTCTCCATTTTAAGATGTCTAAACCAGAAGATAGTTGTCCCCAAAAAGCAAAGGACGAAAGGTCGCCGGGAAGTAGTGGGTGAAACGAATTTTTCTTTGGAAATCCACGGATATTCCCTTGAATGTCGAGAATCTAACCCGGCGTGGCTTCGATTCTCCCCGAATCATTGAGGTAGATCCCCTTCTTCGCATCGAAGGGTAATGACGGGTCAATGGGCTCAGCATGGTATCCAATGCTGACAAGGGCGAGTCCAGCGTCGATAGTTTCAGTTTCTCCAGTCGAAATCACGCCTTCATCCACAGAGTCCCGATTGGCGTCTTTCAAACGATTCACGGCACAAGTCACAGACTGCAGGTTTTCTCGGCCATTGAATTTCTCCGGACTCAAGAAAAACCTATTCGAAGAAAAACAAAAATACGAAACTGATGCTCTGAAAAAAGTACAATGGCGCCCGACATACGAACAATTCGACTTACGGACACTTGATGATAAAAAAAAAGTTAATCCAGACAATACGTCGAGATGAAGTACGAACATTTCAACAATATTTTCAGAAAAAATGCTCCCAACACTTAGATATCTTTCCAGCAACTTGAGCTTTTTTCTTTCCAAAAAACAAAAAGTTTATTGTGCTACAAATGTACTATAATTAATGTTCCCAAACAGAATAATTGTTTGCTTCTTTTCTCCAAATTTCTGAACACAGTATATGAACACTTGTGGTTTTATTGCTTTTTGCCCCCATTTTTCATGCCAAAAGATCAGATTACGCGTGGTTGTCTTCTGCGCTTATTTTCTGTCCCTTGAAGTTGAGAAAAATTATCTTGTTCCATTTTCAGGGGGCTTTTTCCAAATTTCTGAGGAACAGGAGAACAAATCGTGCATAATTCCATTAGAGTCCAAGGGAAAAAGTGATCCGAGATGTAGATGTCCGCATCTCGGGGCACCACTGTAATAAGCATAAATTCAATGCGCCTATTCACCTCAAAATCCATTCAGTGTCACGAGAACTCGTATCTTGTTTCGCAGTGTCGATCAAAAGTTGCATGAGCCGCTTTTTCGGCCGACTCAAACCCTCCACCAAAGGCACCAAATGCTCAACATCTCGGGTTCTGATCACGGGTCTGGTGGACTTGAGCTTAATCAACTCCCTGATCTCCTTGATGGTGAAGGCGGCTTGCAAAGGACCCCTTCGTCCAACAATGTGCACCCTTCGTATTCGACTCTTCGCCAAAGCTTCCAAAGAATATTCCGTGATATCACTTTTCTGCTGGGAGGATAAATTGGTTTTTCAAATTTTCACTACAGAAATCTCAGTGATTCCATTCGTCGGATGAATTTAATGTCATGTACTGTTCAGTAAGTTTCCACGTAACGAAATTAATCCGTTTCGGGATGAGTTTTGTCATGTGACACGCGTTTTCCTCTGAGAAAACGATTTAATTTGTTCCAGTCAATCACGAAAAGTCCATAATAGGCCATACAATTTGTGTATTATTTTTCAGCAGAAAATTTTGAATTTAAGGATCTTCAGCGTAGAATTGAAGTAATTCTAACAATATTAGCTCATAACATTCCAAATTTCGAAGAAGTAAAACTAAGCTTTCATTTTTTCTCAATTCTTTTGGAAATTCTCCCGTTTCAGTAAAAAAAAAATTGGATGAAATTTGCGTATTTTTTTGGTCCAGAGATATAATCATGTAAAATAATTTCGTAATGAGAATCACATTTTCCACCTCTAAAAATTTTGGTCATAGGAATTTTTTGCTTAGTGATCATACCCTAAATTTTGTTCACCCAGGGGCGAGGAAAAAAAAAGAGTTGGAAATGCAAGAAACAAAAATCACGGCGCAAGTTTCTCAGCCACATTTAAATATTCGATGAAGAATCCATAAAACAATTCCCAAGATTCAAAAATCATGGCAACAAGGTTAATTTCGAAAGAAGATCTGAACTTCCGTGATTAAGAAACAGAGACCAACAACAAAAACAACGAGTAATTTATTCATGAGACAATTATCACGACACTGGTTATTAATTTTTCCTCGTTGGTAACGATAATGCACCCCATTTTTTTTTATTATTCTGGTTCTGGGGATTCAAAAAGAACACTTACAGAGAGAATGTCAACAGGGGTCAAGAGGATCCGAGCAACGTCCAACGCAACATTCCCAACCCCAACAACAACTGCTGTATCTGTTCCCTGAAGATCAACTTCAAGATCAGCTTTCCCAGGTTCCCCATTGTACCATCCCACGAACTCCTTCGCAGGAACAACATTCCGCAAATCTTCTCCAGGAATGCCCAACTTTCTTTCGTGCTTGCATCCGTGAGACTGAAATTCCAGCGAAATAATTGAAGTTTCCCTCTGGGACGACTCAACATTCTTTCTTATTGTCTTCTAAAGGAAATGATGGCCTCACCAGAACAACAGCGTCATAGGATTTCTTCAAGTCCTGAAAGCTCAGGTCAACCCCCACTTCAACATTTCCCACGAATTTAACCTCGGGTTTATTCAGGGTATTCGTGAAAGTGTTGATGACATTTTTCACTTCCGGGTGATCGGGTGCAACTCCAAATCGCACCAGGCCGAACGGAAACGGATGCTTCTCCAGAATATCGATTCTCACAGGGAATTTTGCTGCCTTTTAGTTGAGAAACACACACACACACAGATAGAACTTAAAATACCACGTCTCTCAGCTAGGAAAAAAAAAAAAGAAAATCTACCCACTTTTAGTAGTCCTTGAGTGAAATAGAATCCAGCTGGTCCACTTCCCACCACGCAAACATGGTGAACCCGGCGATTAAACAGCAGAAGGGTCGAATGCAATCTCAGCACTTTCCTAATACCGAGTGCACTCATGACAAGTTTTCCTGCAACGATTATCAAACAACAGGAGAACAACCAAAAGGAAACCAACACGCCTCAAAAACGAAACAAAAAAAGCCCACTTCTTATGCATCTGGAAACTTCTGTAGCGACTTTTATTGATCAAAATCACAAGACAAGACAGGTGCAATCAACATCATCACAGTTCCAACGAATGCCGACAGTTCATCAAAGAAACTTCACCCAAAAAAAAAAATTCGTACAGTGCGAATTTTACAACAGTTGCAGTTACCACAAAAACAAAAAATTCACAAAACCCTGCTTCCATAAAGAGATCGGCACGAGATTCCAAAGTGTACTTAGTTGATAAGGCGTTCAATGACTCAGCCGTAACGAAGAAGATCCCTGTAATGAAAAAAAAGTACGAGTAAAATTTACAAGAATTTTTGAATTCATGAGGATTCCCACAGTTCGAGCCTGATTCTTCCGCGCTGACATCATTCGTAAATTGTCCAGTCGCATTTTGTTCAACTCATCCGCAACAAAGGCAGCATCGTGTTGACGATTCCGGTTTTCTTTGCTAGCTTCCAAATCCAACATTCTGCAAGAACAAAAATGGAAATAACCGCAATTACCAGCAAATTCTGAAAAGACTATTGACAAAGACATCACCTCTTTTCCTCCGCAATTTTCTTGTTCTTCTCAGCGATTTGCGAATCGTAATTGTGGGCAGTTAGGGAAGCCTGCTCGCGTTTCTTACGTAACATCGCCATGTGATCCTCACGTTCCTTCTCTACGGCTTCCTCAATTTTACGAGACTCCTTTTCATTTTCCTCCTGCATAAAACACGGAAAATATGAAATACTCCTGAATTGACATTACAACGTTAAAATAAAATTATCTGGAATTTATTCAAGGTAAATAATGCGTCATTAAGGAAAAAACTACATATTTTGAACAGATGATCATGTTCTTGTCAAAAAGCGGAAAAAGTCGGAAAGAAAAACACATGAAATAATCTACTTGATTTCCAGGTAGGAGGTGGAAAAAAAAAATTGCTGGTGTTTTTGGGACTCGAACTCCCAACTGGCCTTTGGGCGACGAGAGGAAATTAATGGCATCCTCATACAGTCATTATCGCTTTTTCCTCGTAATGCACAATGAATCCCACAAGACTTTGTCTATAAACGCCCAAAAGCTTTTCGATTGACCTTCTCAAAAGCCATCTGACGACCAATACCAAAATTTTTTTTCTTCCGTACGAGAAACTCCAATAAAACTGTGGCCCTTTTTTTCCTTTCACAATACATTTTCGGACATGAAAAATCTAANATGAAAATCTAAATTTAATAAAAATGAACCTGATCTTGTCGATTCCTCTTCAGTTTGTCCTCGATTTGTTCTCCCCAAGCTGCAATGGCATGATACATCAACTGCTGCCTGGCTTCGTCCTCTTTCCTCCATTCTTGTTCGCGCTTCTCCCACATTCGACGAGCTTCTTCGTCGAACAAATTCTCGGTCTCCTTTTCGCGGGCACGCTCACGATCCAGTTGTTCCGCCAGGTAGGAATGCAACTGGGACATTTCCTCACTCACCTGAAACAAAATTCCACATTTCGCAGCCATTTTTGAATTAAACATGAAAAAAGCAGGGATTTCTAACCTGTCTTCTTTTAGCAGCTCGAGCCTCGCGTTCATGCGCAGCTTGTGCCATGATCGTGTCGAGAAACTTTTGATCTTCTTCAATTCTCTGGCGCATTTCTGCAGCTTTCCTGCGAAGTTTCGCTTGCACTTGTTGATGCAACGCCGACCTGATGGAAAAAAAATTGAAATCATTCAAGCGAGAAAAAAAAAGAAGAATCAAGGCACCTCAAAGCTTCTTTTTTCCTCGCTGCATCAGTTTGCTTGCGACGTTCTTGCTGCTCAACGTAAAATCTCTGCAGGGCAATTAATTCACGTTCTTCAACCAAAAGAGCCCGTCTTCGCTCTTCTTTTTCCCTGAAAGAAATCCAACGAAATTTCATTTTGATTACGATAAGTTCTCATCAATTTTGAAATTTACTTCAATGTCCGCTCCTAAAATTCGAAAATGTTCACTGTCGCATTTGAGACACAATTTTCATCTCAAGCTTACATCGAAATACGTATATCACGATTTCTTTCGTAGAGAGGGAAACAGAAAATGGCGTACTGACGAAATTCTGGAGAAAATTAAACTTGCAAGGAATAGGAAATTAAAATTACAAAATTCTGGAAGCAACTACTCAGAAAAAAAAAATGTAACAGAAGCTTTCACGAGTTTTCAAGTACTGTACAGTAATACGAATTTACCGTCCTCAGAATGTACTTCTGGCCAAGATTTTAACCTCTCTCCAGTGGAGGAAAAATGTTGTATCAGCTGATGAGGACATGAATGTACCTCAAAGAAAGCATTCTTTTATTCATCATGATTCAAAGAACACAAGACAAACCTCGCAGAATCCACCTGTTGCTTCAACACGTCCCTCAAGGCAATCTGCTTAGATTCACGCATTTTCTTCTCTCTCATCTCCTCTTCTTGATGCCTGATCCTGTCCGCTTCCTTCTGCCTCTCGTACTCTTCATTCACAGCAGCCTGTTCTTCCTCCATGGCTTTCTTCTCGTCCATCTGCTCATCCCACGACTGCTGAGCCTCTTGTTGGAAAAACCTCGACTTGGCTTCTCGGAGCTCGCGACAATTCTGCTTCCGCAGTTGATACAGTTTCTCTTCGGAAACCTAAACAAACAAAAGTTTGTGAAAATTTGAGATGCTCAGTGCAAAAAGAAAAAATGAAAACCTTTTCTCGTTCGCGTTCCCGAGTCGCAACAATGGCTTCCGCTTGTCGCCGAAGTTCTTCCATTCCAGCATTGGTCAAAGGGTAAGCAGACATCGGACGACGACGCATTCGGGGTTCCAGCGACTCCAACTCGAATCTCAGTCCCTCGGCCTCGTCTTCAAACAGTCTCCTGAGTCTCTGACGAGCCGTGGACAGGAATTCCGCATGTGATCGCTCTCGAGACTTGTTTTCCACCTGCGAAAACACATTAAAATCTCAAATTTATTATTCAGTTGTTCGTTTATTACTTATTTTTCGTTCGTCGTCAAGGAAAACTTACCTTCGCCATTGATGCAGAAAAAGAACGTTCCGAGCCCAGGGACTCGTACTGAGAGGCGACCAGGGAAGACCTAGAGAAGCCATCGGCCACATGACGCCAATAATCCACACGCCGATCATTCGATTCCCTTTTCTCAATCTGCTCGGCGATCTCGCGAGCTCTGGAACCCGATCCGGGACGTGTCGAGATCACGGGCACTTTGACAACCCGTCGCGAATTCGGGTAATACATTATTCTCTCGTTCCTGCAAAAAAAAATTAAAAAACTCATCGTCCGGTTCAATATCTTCTTCGAGAAATTGAAAAAAAAACTACCCGATATTCATCAGTCCCCTGGAACTTTTTATTGCCAAGATGAAGAGCACTGGCACCGCGAACAAGAAGCATCGAACAAAAAAAGAACACGAAAATACACACCATTTCTCCTAAGTGTCCAAAACCAACACCGAAGCAAAAAGATACTCCAACTCAGACATGGGCGAAGTTATCATTTTCTTTTGCACGATATTCCAGATTATACATCCTGAAAGACTCAGCCGGTGCAAAACGAAATGAACGAGACAGGGAAAATGATCGTTCTACTGAATGCGTCTTCGTCCGAATCGTCAGCTGGTGTCCAAAAAAAAAAGCACTCCGAGATGAAAATATTAAAAAAACACATCGTAAGTCGACATAACCGCTCGATTTCCAAGCAAAACTCATTTCCCCAGTCCAAAAAAAATCAAAATAAAATTATGCAAAATACGAAATTCAGGAACTGAATGCCACAGCTATCCTAAAAGAAAACGAAGAGCTCTTTGTCGGCACCAGAAAAAAATGTCTTAATATATACCACGTATGCGCTCAAAACTTCACAATGCTCCGTTTTTGCCTTCAACAAAGCGGAATAACAACTGCATAAACTACATCAAGTTCCCGCGCGGAGGAAAAAACCGTATCACAATACCTGAATGACTCGAAACGGCGTTCTAGCACGAACATTTGAAACTTTGAAAAGGAATGAATGCATGAAAATCAATAGTGATGCGTCCAGGGCCAGCTTTTGAATGAATCAAATAACGTCACTCGCTTTCGATCTAGCCGAACACTATCGAATTTCAAATAATAATAAAAAAGCAGAGATGATTTGTAACGTGAATTTAAGCGTGAGACTTAGCCCATTTCATAGGTTTCACGAATCAATTCCTCGCAGTATCTTCCGTTCAGTCTATATCTTGCTAGCTAAAAAATCACTCTCCCTCGCAATTAAAACTCGAAACTAGGATAATTCGCGAAAAACTACGAAAATGGCTCTACCAATTAGCCCTGGACATGCGTTACATTTTTGTTTTGTTTTTATCACATTTGCTCAACTACCTTCCATTCGCTTCTTGATGAAAATTCAAGAAGATCGTGAAAAGGAATAAAACATGTCAACAAATTCTAGTCTCGTATTTGGCACAATTCCGCTAACGGTGGGGAATAGCTCGCTATGGGCGGAATAAAAAACCCGGTGGACTTCGAACAGATGTTCTGGCCAGAATTTTCCGCCTCTCGTCGATGGCAGGCGGATCCTTCACATTCAAGAAAGTCGAAAGGAAAAAAAAAACACACGAGAAAAAAATAGAAACTGCAAAACTATCACACTAACAATTTTGAGAGTTCGAGGGTCATATTCAACATCTTCGCAGCATTCGTTGAACCAAGTGACTTAGCTAAGCCAGAGACAACAAAAAATTCATTCAAATTTTCGAACACGCGGAGCTGACTGAATACTTTACAAGGGTTTTCCAGAAAGTCTCGCGATTTACCCAAAAATCGTCTGTCAATTCCCCCGATTGAAGTGCTTGAATGGAAAATTCTCAGTGATTCGTCGTAGGAATTTCGAAATTTTTCGAGAGCCACATAATCCCGAACATCGTGGAGAATTAAATACTTGACTAATTCTAAATCCTTGTATCTCAACAGGTTTTACAAGTGAGGAATTCTTGAAAAACAATCAACAGACGAAACTCAAGCATGAAGTGTCATCTACAGTACTTGTCATAAAAAAAATGACTCGCGGGGCTTCCGAGAAACTCCACTATTCCAGGCAGCTCCGATTGAAAAATTTAAAAATACTTGCAGAAGAATCTAATGACTCAAAAAAAAAAAAAAATTACCCAGAACGAAACCGCGAAAGTTTCTTCTTCCCCAAACCTGGCAAAAGATCTCCATTGAAAGTGATTCCGACCACAGAACATCAGTCAACTCCTTCTCTTCCACACACAACTTGTGGAACGGAATAAATGCGTTCCCGCAAAACCTAAAATACGCGGTTAACCTAGACCTTCTTCCTCGACAAATTTTGGTCGGCCTTTTTCATTTCGATTCTTTCTTTTTTGAGCTCCGAACCCGGGGAAAGATTGAGGGAAGCATCCCGTTTTATCCACAAAAAAAAAAAAACCCCGACACCTTGTCGTCGCTAGCAAATCTTTTTCTTTCTTTTTTTTCCGCTATGTCTCAAACTGTTCACAAAGTCGTCGTCGGTTGGTAGTAACGAATACCGTTGATCTGAAATACAAAAAATTTCACTCATTTTCTCTTTCATGTTCTCCGAAATGGAATAATCCTCTGTACTCACCGTCATGTCGTGTTCCGTGATGAAAGCTGGAATTTCCAGCTGGTCCGGCTCCATGACCGAGTACAAGTACTCGATTCCAGACAGCCCGTGTACTTTATTCTTTATCGCCGGTGCCATAAATGTCGTGAACCACCACGTCATCACCTGATCAATACATTCCCAACCAGGTCGAACATTGATCATCGAAAAATGTCCAATTTCACCACAAATCCATGAAGAATTTCATGAGATGAAACAGCAACCAATAAATCAATAAATTCTACGAATAAAGTATTAAAATATGTAGGCAGATGGAACGATTTTTTCGAGTACTGTCGCATCAATGTTCAATTTTTACAAGCTATTACAGTTCAACCATCAATTTAGTGCTCCTCCAAAAATCAGAATAATTCTGAACATTGAATTTTTTCGGATTTAAATGGTAGAAAATTATTTTTGTTGATGCATGACATCTTAATTTTAAAATTTAAGAAACAGCCCTGCCCTTTCACTACACAATACAGTATACGCGTACAAAATTAAATATACTCTGTCTTGATAAATACTTTTAAATCCAACACAAAAACAGTAAATTTTTACTTCAAACTTACTGAGAGTTTGGCCTTCTCTCTTCTGAAACAGGGAGGGTGGCCAAACAGTTCTGTTAACAAGCTTATTTCGTCTACATTATATAAACCCTCAAATGAACCACCTTTTTTTTCACAATGCCCACGATTTAATGCCAACCTCGCCTTAAGCCACAAATAAGCCAGGACGAATGATGTTACTGAATCGAGGTTTGACTCTACAGGATACGCAGAAAATGACAAATAAAACAGGTATTACATGAGAGAAAAGGCCAGCAATCCAATTTCCTTCAGCGCAAGTCAACTAGTCAATGATCGTTTCACACCAAACACTTCCAAAACAGTTTTCCCGTTCAGTATTTTACTTCTGACGTTATGCAATTCCTCAATTATTCATTATACTCATCGCGTAAATACACTCTCTTATACAGTACTGTACGAGGATTATTCATCTTTCAAGGACCCACACTCAGTCATGCCACTAAAAATAAATAAATTGTCTGGGATTCGAGAATGAACAATGAAATTTCCCAACCACCCCGTTCACGAAATGTCGAAAAATGCCCAACTGACCTTGGTCCAAAAGGTGGGATGAACAATGTAGAACGCCTTCAAGTTCTTCTTGTATCGGTACGGCAGAGTTGAATACACTTCTCGGATCCAGTGCAACGGTGGTCGATTATAGGACGTCGTCAACGTGTGGAAATAAGAAACAACGTAGTCGCCGTTGGTAACCGTGTCCAGCAAATGAATCAAGTACAACGTGGCTTTTTCCAAGTCCACCTTGCGCAAGTCGAACCAGCGGCCAACAAAAACAATCACTGGCCTTCCCAGTTTATCCACCCCGCTTTGATAAAGGCACCCGATCCCAGAGATTTCGCTCAAGTCTTCCGATTTTGCCCGTCTCAGCAATCTCTCGTATCTGGAGACAAAAATATTGAGCAACTCTGTCGTTTAAAACTTACAACATTGGTGATGACAAATTGGTATTACCGAATATTATTTGGTGCCTAAAACACCCGTCAGCAAATATTAGATGCACATTTATTTTTCTTCCGTTAAAAAAAAATGAGGTGGGTGTGATCCAATTACCAGACGAAACTACCTGAAAAACTTCCAAGAATTTAATGCTTTAAATTTTCATTCGGAAAATTCCGCCAAAAAAAAAGGATAAACCTAAAAATTTAAGAGTACAGTACAATTTTAGCAAGTTTCATTTCTTACATCAATCTCAGGAAAGTACCAGCATTAAGCGGGTGGAGAAAAAATGGTGGAACACAGAGCAGTAAACAATTTAGATGCTTCCTTCACATGCTCTGATAACCTCATTATTTATACTTCGGATGTCAAATTAAAATTAAAATTCTCGCGCGGCAATTGAGGACATTCTTTCCGTACACAGTCATCACTGTGCACGGTCTCACCTTTCAACCCGATACAGCTCTTCACTGACAGCCTCCGAAAACGGATCTCCAGAAGATCGCGATTGTCCCAGAAGCCGCTGCTTGTCCCGGTCCAAATGCATCTTGCAAAAGTCATGTTCCCCGATGCTAACCGAAGTCTGCAGCTGTTCAGAGAGATCAACGGATTCCTCCAACGCGTGCTGAGGATTATCGATAATCCGGATTCTGCGATCGTGGATTATCGGCTCCCCGAACTCGTCGCCGACATCGACAGGCAAATGAAAGCAAGCGTACTGCTCTTCGTGTCGGTTCCGCGGAAAGTACAGCGGCATCAACAGCCCGTAGATACCCAAGTCAGTTTCGCTCACGCACAACACCACAGATTCGAACGAGTCTCCAAAATGCTCCAAGAACCGTCTCACTGTACCTGTAATTTGAAAGGGGGAAAAAAATTCCAGCGAACTTAAAAAATTATATAAATACACTTTTAGACCTCAAGAAGTCAAACCTGACGATTTTAAATTTTTTTCAATATCCTTCCTGGATTACTTCAGAAAAAATTCATTAGGATCATTAATAACCCCACCCCCCCCCCTCCCCCCTCCCCCCCATCCGCATCGAAAGAACCGAGAAAATCCATGCTGTCCCGCATCATGATTCTTCCAGCCGTGCTGGGTTCAGGTCCTCAAAGAACCCGATCCAACTGTGCCAATTAAAACATGCGTGGTGCAGGTTAGCAAAGCAAATTAAAATGGCCCGACCGGTGCACGCAAGTGCAAAAAAATTCAGTCAAAATACTATAAACTTCCATGCATTTTTTTTTCGCTGAAACAAATCATTCCACAACCTACCCCATATCACCCCCCCCCCCCCCGCTACTTCCTGTTAGACTTAATATCGTCCCTTCAGGTCACAGAGATCTAATTTCCTCCCGAAATTTCAAATTTCCCAACTCACGAATAGCTATGTGCGCTCCTTGGTCCGGAGGATACCCGCGTTTGACCGAATTTATGATAGGGATGGCCAAGGAAGGCAGACGATGTTCGCGAGCGATCTGAAGTACCCGTCGGTACGCAGAGTGCAGTGCAAATTCCGCTGCAGTCTGGTACTTGGCATTGTATCTCGGGCCCACCGTGTGAATTATGAATCGACACGGCAAGCTGAATCCTTCTGTCATCTTCGCATCTCCGGTTTTGCACGCTGGAAACAGAATATGATAAAAACATAACAGGAACTTCGAGATTCCTCCGGTCTAGATTCTTACCGTAACATAGCACGAAGTACTTTGCACCTTAGCATAACATGATAATTTATGGAAATATTTTCACACAACTACTAGAGTAAAAGATGGACCGTCGGAGACATGCGATAAAAATCCAAATCTCAGGGTCTGAAGGTTGAGATGGGCGGAATTGCTTCCGTACGACGCACTAAGAAGCGGAAGGCGATCCATAAAAGAAACTGATTCAAAAGTCCATTGCAATTACTGTACAGTATTACAAATGCTACATTCATCTATAACCATGGGGATAATTACAAAATCGGAACTACTGAGGTTGGATGTTCATCATACTCACATCGAACATTCGAAATTAAGGCTTCTTTAAGGCCAGGTCCAGCCTTGACGAGGATCCGGCGACTGATGGGGTTGTCATCGTTGAGCAATTCGTTCGTTGGATTAACGATAGCATGTACCTTTAAAGTGGTCAAATCCCCGTCCCTACACAGAAAAATATGTAAATAAAGATGTTATCCGCGGAAAGTACCTCGCACTCTAACTCACCATAGATTAATTTTCCGATTCAGGTCTTCTCGGAAAGGGAAGGGCGAATATTCGTGCAATTTGTCGTCAATTAGTCGACATTTCCGATTTGTGGCTGGCACATCCTGCCAGCAGGTCAAGCTGCTAGCATCAATCATGGCGATAGGACAACCATTCTGACCGTCCATCAGACGTGCGCAACACGTAACGCAGGAGTTTAAAAATTTCCCGCGTATTTCACCAAGTCTGCAAAAATTAAATGAGCATTTCGGTCTGAATAACACATCGAATGAATCCGCAAAATTTCACGGAGAAAATCACATAGTCGCGACGAACTAGCTGATAAACTGCATCACTCCATCGCGTTTATCGGAAAAATTCGTTTTTAGCGAACCAGGAACTTACTTCGAGCTAATCCGAACCAGGATTCAGCACCCCGAATGGACAAAACAAAAACACGCACACAGACAAAGGCACAGAGAAGGATTTTGCTTCCTAATGCGAAAAGCTTCACAATTCTGGAATATATTCACGCCACCCTGCGATTCACGACCATTTGGGGAAACTGGATGGCAGACAGTTTCAAAGCTAATTAGAAACAAATGGCGCTGAAAATATTCACCACTGAGCGTCAGATGCCAGTGCACACACTGATGTTAAATGTGACCTTCAGCCTCAGCTACGTCGCTGAACAGGAAGACGATTTGCTCAGGACTGAAAAACGTGGGTGATGCCTCCGCACGTACAAGAACTAGAATTTTAAATTTGGACAGGGTCAACTCTTTCGCGGACACCTCGAATAGCGAGGCACGGCAGACGCTCAAACACTGTATTTCGAAGTGCATCACTTAGGTGTCACTACCATATTTTCAACGCATACCTTCTGCTGGCCTCTCTACCACTCAGCTAGCTAACTAACTGGAACTCTCTGACATACACCATGTCTGAGGATCGGAACGAAGTACAGTGACGTACCTTAAGAGATTTATAATAGTGGAAACTCACCAATCCCAGGTTAGCTAGCTTTTGTCCTGCGTAAGGCAATGAACTATTGATATTGCAGCGTACACATAGATCGAGTTGCATGTGAAAAAAATTAAGTTTACACTTATACTGTATCATGTTATTATAAGAAGAATTCATGGATATTAGAGAGAAGAAACGTATGTAATGGGGGTTACGAAATAATGCGGCTGTAGCTTGGTGCAGCAGCTTTCGGTCCAAGATTTTAAAATCAGGTGAATAAGTCACACTGTAGTTCAAATTCCCATCATTATATCAACAAATACGTGAGTAACCTTTGTTCCTGATTTTAGAAGATCAACAACAATGGGATGCAATATGCGTAATCCTGCAATTCGCTGAACACGTGCGCTTATAACGGGAATTCTTCCTCCTTGAACCTCGCAAAACAATCGAAAACTTTTTAGCGTTTTTTCTCGATTTTGACTTAATAATCAAGAAATGGCCAATTTTGAGAAGAGCAAGGGTTGTAATTGACACAGTTCTTCCTCTTCTTGGGGTAAGGAATCGCAGGTTCCTCTACAGTCAGAACATCCAGTAAGTGAGTGCATAAATTCGGCCATACGGCAATGGAATTTTAATTTTGTGCATGAAAAATCTAGGTGGGTGATTATGTTAGCGTCCATACATTAATTATCTGCTGCTCGCATGCCATTTCACTGCCGTCCTTCAGAGTTGCAACATGGGAAATACCAGGAATAAAAGTGACACATTTTCAGGTCAACAACGGTTTGCTTCATTCCGTCAGCAAATTCCACGCAGAAGTTCGAAGAAGTCCCTTTCTTTTCGGAGACTCCTAAGCATCATTCAAGGTATCAAATAACAGACAAAAAATCGAGGATACCTCAAAAACCGAATTTCTGCCATCCTGGAATTCGTAAAGCCCGTTTCAGCGTTAACCCGTGCTCTTATTCTTTTTCGCAACACGGTAAACACCAACAACAACGGCGTGATCACGCTCATAAGGCTCCAATGTCAACTGCTCCAACGGACGTAGTTTCTCCGACTGCAACTTCTTCACTTCCCCGGCGAAAACCGCTTCCGGCTCAGCTGTCGAGTCAATGCAATTCGCCTATATACAAACGAAGACACGACAAATTGCATCAATAACTTTGCATATTTGTCGCAGAAAATCATATTCTTCCGAGATTAACAATGATTCTTCCTTTCCCAAGCTGCCTACGCAGTGCTTCCGTCATCATCTGCCTATTTCTCAACTTACACACACACACAGTACAGTATATTAGAACCTACGTAAGCCAAAAATTATGAGTCACCGAGGTTACGAGGTAAAGAAAAAAATAGCCATTGGTGTCGAGTGAGAGGAAGACCAATTACTGGAAATTGTAATTGGTGATATTCTGGACCTTAAATTGCTTTTTAAATGAGTTGACAGGATGCTGAACTTGGAGTCAGGGGTTTATGCGCCCAATTAGTTTTTTTACTTCCTTTCGAAACACACTTTTATGGCTTTCCTCTTTCCTGCGTCAATTAAATAATAACCTCAATAAGGTCCTCCATAGGTAATTCGAGCAAAAAAAAAGAAAGTCGAACCTTGATCGAGATCACAAAATGTCCGCCGACTTTCAAAAAGTACTGGGCGTTGAGGGCAACGATACGAGCCTGGTCTGGCTGCGCAACGTCCGCAAACACCGTGTCCACCATGCCAACTACCATTCGGTACTTGTGCGGGTGCCTGGCGTCCTCAATGATCGGTACTATGTTTGGCCGTTTCTTCGCCACATTCAACAGATCTCGTCCGGAACGATGCGAGAATTCAACAGCATAAACGATTCCTTCCTGCGTAGAAAAATGTGGGAAATTTTCAGGTGCGTAACTCATCTTTGTTTTGCTTCGATTCCGTAAGCCACAGTAGAAAAAAAACAAACAATCAAACTCGGTTCAGACGCCCCCTAATAAGAAGCCAATTTATTTCGAAAAACAAATCGTCCCTATTGATAATAGCATTGAAAACTGCGTTGAAGAAACGTCATCCGCAAAAATTATTGACACCTCAAATATGCTCTATCCAATTAACTCTGTCTTCAATAGCCCGCCAACAAGATTCAAGTTTCTGCGAAAAGTCTCCACTGAACACAAAGATTACGTAATTTAATTCTTGGGAACGTTAGCTATATAAATAATTTACGCATCCGAGGGTCATTCTATGGTTTTCTAGAGAGACTATCGAGAGATCATTTCCGATACTTGATTTTCTTCATCGTAAACATTCAAAAGAGAGAACAAAGGGGGCACAAACCGGTCCAACAATGTCCGACACATGCGACACCGTCGTTCCAGAGGCTGCACCGAGATAAAGCACTTTGCTACCGGGTGGCATGTTAATGGCGTCCACGCCGCCTAAAATGGCAGCTCCGAGTTTCGATCGAAACGGATTCCACACGCGGTACTCGACCTTCTCTCCCTCCACGTCCTTGAAAAAAGCAAGAATAAAAAAAAAGACACAAAAATGCAGCAACCGATGAAAACAAGGGCGCCGGGGAAAATCCCGTAGGGTACGAAAATCCCGTGGATTACAAAATTGTGATGGGGTTAAAAAAACCGCTTTGAAAGTTCAGGATTACCTTCTGAAGAGGAAGCTTGAGAAATATCTTGCCTTCATTTAAAACTTTAATCCCTGAATTTGCTTTCGATACAAACTGAGCACTTTTCCACCAATTCTTCACAGTTCAAGTTCGCCTCTTGAAGAGTAAGTGCCAATTTTCTTGAAATAATTTTATTGCACTGAGAGTAAAATAATACCGTCAATTGAAGGAATCAGGTGTGCTAAATTAGGAAATGGCTCACTGTAGATGCCATGAAATGATTTTTCTGATACACATTGAAGATTCTGAAACTGCATAAACATAAATTCCAGTTGAGTTTTTTTTGTTCCAGCGTGATTTTCGCAACCATGGGATTTTCTCATGGAGCCGAAAGAAAAAAAAAAACAGTCAGCATTGTAACCCAAAACTGCTTACCCCATCAACTGAAATGCGCTTTTCGCCGTACACGGAATCCCCGGGCACAATGTTGCGAGTGAGCAATGCCTGTTCCTTGCCCTTGGCGATGAATACTCCGGGATGCCGATGTGGTTCCACCACCACATTTCTCCCAGCTCCAAAACCACCTCCTGATCACAGTTATCGTCAGGGTACTGTATCCGAATTCCGCAGATATTTGCACTCATAATTCAAAAATTCAGAGACGACTTGCTACTATTATTTTCTCCACTCGCAAAAGTATGTAAAAAAAAATGTCAAGAAGTACTGGTCAAGCGAGATTCACATAAATCTGAATGATCAGGGTTTATGCACAGACAATCATTAAATTTATCCTGACGAAAAATTACGCAATTTCAATCAATAGATATTAATAAATACAACTGAAATTCGATCTGTAAACCACCCCCCGAATCAAAATTGTACGTCATTAAAAACAAATCTCTCGTGGATAAAGTGGCGCATCTTTTGTCAAGGTACAGCACCATCAACTCACCTCTTCCGCCCCGACCTCGTGGAGTCCCTCTACCTCTTCCACCGCCGCCACCTCGCCCTCGGAAGCCACCACGGTCACCGCCGCCACCGCGGCCAAAACCACCTCGTCCGCCGCCTCTGCCGAATCCCCCGCGACCGCCGCCGCCTCGGTCCCCAAACCCACCTCTCGGTGTGAACCCTGTGAAATCCATACATTTCCTCTTTTCCACTTGAACGAATCCAATTTTAAATAGACTTACCTGGCCTCATGTCATAAACGGAACAAAAAACGCAGCTCTGGCACACACACAAAAATAATATACTGTATTAAGAAGATACTGTACCTGAAATAAACAAAGGAAAAATCAAAAGCCTAATCGTCTTTCGAAAATAGCCTTCGAAGGGGGATATGCACAAAATGTTTAAAAACACTGCCTGGATATCGCTGCAAATTTCTTCATATTTGCCTGCAAAATCCAGCGACCAGCACTAAATCCCATTCATTTAATAATCTCGACACAGCGACTCTTGATATTTACCTCCTCGTACACAGTCAAAGACACGCCATACAAAACGAAGCCTAGTTTTCAGAGGTTCAAAAAGCCGGAATAGGATTGTATTGGCAACTCCATTCACCAAAACCTGACATTACATGAATGTTCCAAAATTAAAACCCACTCAAGCATCAGAAAAGACCTTGAAACTCGCGTACGACAACTTTCTCGCGTCACCTCGTTTCAACACCCTGAGGAAACGGAAATATGAATCACTCGTCACATGCAACAGCACACAAAGTCGTGGAACACACAAGTACGAATGTTAATGCGTTAGTTGCCACCATCACCAGGTTTATTAGAACACTTCGGGATAAATCAACAACAACAAAATCGGGGGAAGCACCGCAAAATGCAAAGCACGGCGTCACATGCGTTAGTATCACGACAGTC